CATTTTTTGGGAGGTGGTACTTTGGTTTTGGTGTACTGAAGTATTATATTTATAGACTCTAAATAAATTAAGTCTTGTCTTCAAATGTAATTACCACAGAAGTAGTGGAAAATGGATTTTTCAAAGCAGCCCAAGGAAACTGGGGACACAGTCCTTAGTAGTCAGGGAAATAATATACTAAGTCCCAGTCCCAGCCTTGAACGTGCCAGTATCAAGGGTCTGCATGGGAGCATTGACACAGGTTTGTTACAAGCTATACAGCCAGCTGAAGTTTCTGCAAGACTAAGAGGTCTCATATAGTGAAATATTTCATATCAACTTCTATTTGTTATGAGAAATAACATGTTTTCTACCTTCTGCAAAATTGCATTTGTTGGGGTTTTTTGGGTTGTTTTGTTGTTTATTTTTTCTCTGAACAGTGTTATGGGCCAAATGCTCAATCCTTTTATGTCAAAGGCAAAGTTTGATTTAAATGAGACCAGAATGCATGGGTATGTGCTAAATCAGATATTTTTAAATGTGTGCCACTTGAGATTGCAGAATAAAACACATGCTCATAAATATTTGGGATTTGTTTGAAGTCAGAGTATGTTTCTCTCTGTGGGCCTATTTATAGCTTCAGGATAAGAAAGTCTTAGGCTTAGTAGCAGGAACTGATGAGTGAGACTTTCACATACTCAGAAGAAAAACATGAGTTGTAATTTTCTGTTTCTTCAGACTAAAGAAAATTCATGAGTCTTGTAGCTGGGATATAAAATTAATCCTGCTTACTTAGGAGAACCTTCATCACAATGCAGGTTTTCCACTTGAACCACAGTATCTGTAGTACTCAAAGAAGTCAATTCTCGCAGAATATTTTTTCATCTGTCTTTGTCTCTTGTTAAAACAGACCTTTGATTTTGCCAGTGACTAAGATTAGATTGTAATGTAATATTTTAATATTTTTAGTTTTTATTCTGTTGCTATATTAAGACCAGAATCACAAATGGATTTTTTTTGAATCTTGAAGTGTTCCCTTTATTATTTTTTTTTACTGCTGGAGTCCTGTTCTATACAATATCAGCAATCAACTTCTATGCCAAAGCCAAGCAGTGACAGTTGCAATAATGAATATTTGCTGTGGGCCACTGGCTTGAAAATAGCACAGTGCTGCAAGCCTTCGTCACCAGAAACAAATCTTCCATTTGACTGTGGCTGAATTTCCAGCTCAATTTTAGAACATTTATAATTGAAATAGCTCTTAAAGCACTGTCATAATATAGTCTTAAGAAATGCTGATTCAGTCAACAAGGCACGAGCTCAAATGCCTTCCTACTTTTTTTTGGTGTTGTTTTTCCTTGTTTGTTTGGTTTTTTAATCCCTTATACCTTTAATGCTGTACCCTGTATTTATGGCACTGAACTCCAGAGAGGCAGCAACGCTGTAAAATATTCAAAGGGACCCATGCTGGTTAGGTTAGAAGTTCTTGTGAGAAAAGGAATTGAATTGCCTCTTTGTAAGCTTACTTGACAGCTTTTAGAATGTTTTATCCTTAATCTCTGCTGAAAATTCTAGTTTATATGAGCATGAGCAGCTTTGCATCTTTAAATGTGTCATTTATTTTACATGGTGAACTTCAATGGCTTTCTATTTATGTTTTAATGTCATTAATGTATTTGCATTAGTAGAATATGAAATGTAATCATATAGGGCAACTCTTAAAAATGCAGAATATATGCACTGAACTTTGATTTTTCTTTTTTTTTGAGATGAGGAATATGCTGATGACCTTTACCATTTTTAACTTTTATATACTATGCTGCTTTCATTCACGCATTTCAAAATACCCTCAAAAGATTCAAAACAGCTAGCATGATTGTATTTTCTTTTTGCTTGTATATGATTGCATAGTGAAATATTCAATCAGCATAGATAGAGAAGGTCAGATACTTGAAGCAGAATAAAGTCTGCTGTTATTTTAGCTTTTATTATTTTAATTCATGCATTGCCTCAGGTTTTCCTAAGGAAAGTAAAGAAATTATCATCTACATTTTGCTTAGGGCTAAATCCTGACCCTTACACTGCAAAGCTGGCAATGGTGATTGCTGTACATTTCTAATTTCCTGCGAGATTAGAATGGGCACCAACTTTGCCATCAATCCTGAGAGAATGTTCATGTCCCTTTCCCCTACCTGGGCCATCTGCCCCTTGCCCTCCATGTCACCAAGAGAGTACATTGGCTAAGCCAAGAGTAGTACCAGGACGCAGAATATGATGTTTTAAAAGCAGTGTTTATGCTTATAAAGCAATGGGGTTTGGATTGAGATTGAGCTTTTGAGGAAAATAATTTCATTGCAGTAATTTTTGACTGAAGGAAAGCTAATATTCAATGGATTCTCTGGAATGGGAAAGGAGTGACTAGTTAGCTTTACAATTTTATGGACAGATCTTCAAGGACTTTATTTTTTCATCAGTTTCTCAACAAAATGCTTAGTATTTCAATTTTTTTTTTTCCTTTTGAAACCTTATTTTTTAAAAAATTATAAATAAGAAGAGACTATTCAGCAAGATAAACTCCTTTCTTCTGCACTGATATTTGACATCCCCAGTACCTTCAGGATCTGACAACCTTCAGGCACTCTTTCAGGAAAAATAAAACCAAACTGTGATTTGACCTTGAGTAGGACTCTATTTTTTTGCTACATGTTTTAATGCCTGTCAATACATAGAATATTCACATGAAAAAAACTTCTTTCTTGGATTTATGAATGATAAATTTTAAAAACCCTCTGGGAGAGTATGTACTAACATGACAAAATATACAATGAATAGAACCTAATAGAGCTTAAAGGGTCATATTCTCACTGACTGAAAGGGAATCATATTTGTGTAGATATTTGTTCAGCCAGCTTCAAGTCCCCCAGTAGGAAATATTTCTGGATCTGTGTAGGTAGGTTATTCCCAGGCTTCATAAACTTTAATATTAGAAACAATTTCCTCAGATCTAATCTAAGTCTCTCTTGATGTAATCCAATAGTCCTTGTTCTACTAGGAGGGATGAGGGAGAAGAGTATATTCTCTTATTTTTAGCTACCTTCTACAGATATGAAAAACATTGACAGTGCTTGCCCTTTTTCTTCCATATTCACAGTTCATGTTTTCTAAACTTCTAATTTATTTTGACTCCCTCCATTGCAAACCGTCTCTTTTTGCTTTGCATTTGTATTGCTTCTTTTTAATTATTGCTAATTTTTAATTAACAGCAAAGCAAGTAATTTTGGGTTTGGTTTTTTTTTGTTGTTTTTTTTTGTTTTGGTTTGGTTTTTTTTTTGACATTGCTGTCCCCAGGCTGGACACAGGGCCTTCAGAGCTGATCAGAGAAGGAAAAAATACCTCCTAAATCTTTTGCTTTGCAATTTCAATGGGGTGGGGACCTGGTTTATAGCACAATGATAGAAGAGATCTGCGTTTATCATGTCTGCTACCAAAAGATTATTCTGAAAACCAAGCAAATAAACAAAGAAAAAAAAAAAAAAAAACACAATAAAACTTTGCCAAATGCAGTGCTGGGGTTGTTGTTCATCATTCTATGTTAATAGATCAGATTAAACCTACTGAGTGTGGATTCCTGCAATTGTCTTTACTGAAAAGCATCTAATTTTCTAAACTGTTTCTTCAATGCATTAAAATAGTTTTGAATCTGGTTTCTCAGTGTGTTTGCCTTGCTTCAAATTTGATAATGCCTGCCAAGCTATTAGGAATGTTCTCCATTAACAAAGTGTTTGAACAGTATTAGTCTGCAACGCACCACTGTGGTATCAGATAGTTGTGTCCCTCCACAACCAAGCACGTACTTAGCTCTCTAAGTTAAAGAATTGCTATTTTGTCTATTCTGATGGAAGGCAATAAATAAAGTAAATAAATAACACCAAGTGATGTATAAAACCAAAATGAGCTATGCTGGAAAGTACCCAAATCCAGGCATATTTCAGTAAAGTAACTAAGATTTTTTTTTTTTAAAGCTACTTAGTAGGCTTAATATGATAAAATATAGTGTTGCAAAGGCAGAACAACTCCTGTCCTTTGTCTCCTTCTCGTGTCCCCTACCCACCACTTTCTTCACTGCCTTCACTGCTGCATTTTGCTGTCCTCCACCATGCTAAGTACTTAACAACCACATGATACTGACATATCCAAGCATCATGTATCAATGATTCAAACTAAAATATTGTGTATTTTCTTTCTCTTTCATTTCATAACTACAGGAAAACCACAAGTTCTTAGCTGCAAGAAATAAGATGTCAGATTTAGATATATATCTTGCTTGTAGTCTTTCCAACTGATAGGCAGACTAAAAATGTTATTAGTGTTTGTTTAGGTCTCAGATATGGAATGTTGTATATTTAGTTACTGTTATTAGCATGTATCATTATTATGCAATAATGGATAACAATGTGTACTATGTATTTATATTGCCTTCATTCTTTTAGTGTTGGTGTTGGGAAAAAATCAAGTGAAGTATCTATTTCTTCTTTTTTTTTTACTAGATATAAAGGCCAATTTTTTTCATTTTCGTTTTATTAGTACAAGATGTTAAAACTTTAGCTTGGCTACCCAATTAGAATAAGTATTATTTGTTACTATGGCTGTTTATGCATCTGAAGTTGTGTGTATAAATTTAAACTGCCTGCTGACCTGGTCATTTACATGGCCTCTTTTATTACATTTTTCTTCTGTTTTACAGTACATTCTTAATGACCTTTTTGCTCAGTTTATGAGTTCTGTGTGAGCAGACTGCAGGAGACAACACATGGTTTTCTAATACATGGGAGTACTGTATTTTGTAACCACACGAGAAACAAAGAAAAAGGTCAGGTTTAGTTCATTACCATTAATGAAACCATCACCAGAACAATCTGCCTCTCTGTGTCATCACAGCACTGGTCACACCAAACACCAAAGGTCACACGATTTTTTTCTGTTTGTGCTCATTTCTTTCCATCTCCTCTCTTTGCCCACAGACACTAACACAGGGACACCAGCAATATCAACGACGACAACCGTGGAAATCCGGAAGAGCAGTGTTATGACAACTGAGATCACCTCTAAAGTGGAGAAAATCCCCACAACAGCCACGAGCAGCAGCACTTGCCCTTCTGTTGAGACTGAGGAAGAAAAAGCAAAAAGACTGCTGTACTGTTCACTATGCAAAGTCGCTGTCAACTCTGCCTCACAGCTGGAGGCGCACAACAGTGGTGAGATGGAGCAGTGCTTGCTTGCGTCCTTTTTTTTATCCCTTCTGTCTCAAGAGCGCTGCAATTATCTTCCCCTGAATAGATTAGATCTCTTGCAGCAGGGGACAAAGAGGTGGCAGAAAACTGGCAATTACATGGAATTCATTAGCTATTAAAGTATAAAAATGACAGGCAAAGAGGCCTTCAAAAAAGAGAAAGAAAGGAATTTATTGCAAGTTGCAGATTTTCTTACACTTTAGCCTTTGCAGCTTCAAAATCTTATTGAGCTAAATGGCAGCTCGACTTCATTACCTTTGGTGTTCAGAGTTTGCATAGTTTTGCTTGTGCCAACTAGCAAAATGAGAGTGAATGCCATTAGCTTTGTTTGAAACGTAACAAATTAAGGCTAAAAGAGAGAGCATTAGTCAGTCAGAGTTCAAGGATGGGAGTTAGAGTTCTTAGCTCCATATTGTCTGTTAATAAACAGCTTGTTAAAATTATGTATATTTTCCCTTTGTTTTCATCAACTGATAGCAGCTGCTGCATGAGAGTTGAATGGATTGCCTTCCTCCATCTTTTTTAGGTTTTAAACTTTTTATTGCCATTAGAGCTAGTAGCATCAGTAAGTTTCCACAATAGACATCCACCATTCATAGTCACTATTTTAGCATGTTATTGATTAGCTCTGTGGTGGGTGGGGTTAAAAGATATAAGGATTTGATATGGTGACAGTGACCACCTATAGCCATCTTACAGAAAATTCCTGATCTGGGATGTCAGGGGCTATGTCTTACTTAGCAAGGGTAAGTAGAGTTCATAGACAGAAGGAGAATGTTAGGTTTTAAATGTTGAGACAGTGATAATATACCTAGAGCAAAGTGATCAAAGGTTTTATGATTCAATTAAAAAAGAAATAACTTTGACATATCTATAGAACTCAGAATGGAAATTATAACTTCTTGGCATTCATGAGAAACAAAATTCCATCAGTTTTTGGATGCTGTTTACTATTTGCCAGATCTTCAGCTGGTGAAAGTTCAACTTCAAGCTGTACCCTTTTCAACTATTTAACTTCATATGAGAGTTAGACTCTATTCTGATCAGGCTGAGAGCCAATACACTATTCTGAATATTTAAACACAACCTCCCAAGTTTTTGCTGCCTGTGCTGATAAATTGTGTGTGCTCACACACATGCATTTTTTTACAACTCTCTGAGGATGCATACAGCAATTAGTAGTGGAGTGGTGGTTTTGTATGCAGTAGTTAGTCCATAATCATCACAGACTACCTGTGTGGGAGTCAACAATGTAAGAAACTGTTCAGTCTGAATAAAGGTGAAGCAACAGAACACCAGTGTTCTCTATGCAACCTTTATTTACAAAGGAAAAAAAAAAAGGTAATTGAATTTTTCTCTCATATATGTTTCTCATATGTTTTGGTTTCTGTCCAGGACATTAATGATCCATAGGTTGCTTCCAGGAACCTCTGCCCCTTTCTGGTTTAGCGAGTAATTAGTTAATTACAGATTTAATTATAAGCTACCTAGACATACTGTTTATCAATCTGTTCAGGAGGAATACAAATCAAAGCCAACTACATCTTTAATAGCTAAATTACCTTTATTTTGTAACTACAATTCAGGTCTTATTAGCAGCAGGAGTTAATGAGAAAAGTCACACACATTTAACTTCACATCAGGGTACCTGACTGTGCTGCTACTTTCTGGTCTGGTTGCTTTGTTCTAGTGTATTACCTATAGGTATGTAATTTAGTAAATAAATATCAGATGTGAAGTCCTGTTACATTAGTATGAATCTGATACAGACCAACACAGTCGTATTCCAAGGATAGCACATGGCACCAAGCTGAGGCTCATATGATTTTATTTCAAAAATAAAATAAAACAATGAATGCAACCCAATTGCCAAAGTTGTTTCTGCTTCCCATTTCTGTTGTCTCCAGGGACTAAGCACAAAACTATGCTGGAAGCTCGGAATGGAAGCGGAACCATAAAAGCCTTTCCCCGGGCAGGCGTAAAAGGCAAAGGACCTGTGAATAAAGGAAACACAGGCCTTCAGAACAAAACATTTCACTGTGAAATATGTGATGTGCACGTAAACTCCGAGACACAACTGAAACAGGTACTTGGACAGCTTGTAGAGTGACAATCTTTGACTGTTCTTTGTTTTCATGGTGGTAAAGTACCAACACAGTCAGCACATGTCGATATAGCAGTTTGTGTCCAAATGGAACTTACAGTTTTTTCCATTGTACATGGCTGCAATGTTGATTGATTGATTGATTATGATTTTCCCTTGCATGGAATATGTCTTCTCAAAAGCTCTCAATTATACACATTTGGTAAAGAGTTATAGAAGGTGTAGCACGTTACTGTCTTTAGACTGCTAGAATTTTCCTGAGCTAATAAACTCTGCCATTTCATGTACTGCATGATATTTGTCTTGACAAAGATGTGAAGGTGGATGCAGCCACTACTTTCACAGAATACTAAATAACCCACTTAGAAATGTGGGATGGAGAGGATTTCTAATATTTTTATCAATGTTTCACTCTAACTCAGAAGCATGACCTCTAAATTGCAATTACACTAACTTATGTTCAGTCATTCTTCAGATGATCAAAGCTTTCTGAAAAATACTTAGTTTAATTCCATATGCCTATTGGAATTAAATACTTGTAAAGGAGCTTTACAAGAACGAAGATTAATTCAATAATGGACAATAGCAATACTCATTCTTCTGGTCTCAGAGAAAAAGTCCAGTTTTATGTCTTTTTATTGTGATTATTCTCTTGAAAATGAAAATCAAAGTAAAAAAAGAATTCTGAAAAAGGTCTCTTACTTCTAATACTGCAAGATATACTGTGTAGTAAGATGCTTTAAAAATCTCATAGATCTTATCAAGAAGATAATGGATTTCATGCATTTTTTTCCACTGTCTCTTAGTCTGCTATGTACCCATCTCAGAAGGATCTCCAGGCAGCTTAGGGATTTAAACAATTTTATGACCTTATATTCTTCCCCAAATAGGGGATGTTTTAGTCTATAATATTCTTTAAAAACTTTCTATCAGCAGCCAATTGAATTTGATGGGTGCTTTATAGAGTTAGAGAGGAGTTTTTCAAAGTCTTTAACCTGACTCAAGTCCTGCTGAAGTTAAAAAAGGTGGGAAAATATTTAACTGTAGTGGAAGCAGAGCTGAACTTAGGACTGATGAAACTTACAGTCCCCAATATGTGGTGCACAAAAGATCCTACAAACTTTAAAAGACTCTAGTCCATTTCATTATTGAATTAGTCAAAGTAATGCTGCTGTAGAGCAAAAGCCTTTCATATTGGAGCAGTAATCCTGTGTAAAGCAGAACCTGAAGTGATCCATTTTGGAACTATCAACTCTCATCCTTTTTTTTCTTTCTGCCCTCCCTGCCCCCGCCCCCCCCTCTCCCGCCCCCCCCCCCCCCCCCCCAATATATTTTAACAGCACATAAGCAGTAGAAGGCACAAAGACAGAGCTGCTGGGAAACCACCTAAACCTAAATACAGCCCTTACAACAAACTCCAAAAGGGAACACATCCTCTAGGGGTAAGCCAATCACCCTTTTTTATTTGACTTTTATTTTAATCCTGATGGATAGGATTTTTAGAAAATATAAGTGGGAAAATGCTTAGAAGGAGAGTAATAGTGTAAACCATTCAAGTATTAAGTACATGAAGGAGCCACTGGAAACCCACAAGGGATTTTTTTATATACTTTAAGTTGTGTTTACTACAGCCTGTGGACCCCTGCTTTTGTAGCTACTCTGAAAAACCTCAGGAAAGAAGTTAATTGCAAGGGTCACTAGAGAGCAAGAGACGGAAAAAACCTCCAGATGTCAAACAGGATTTTTCTAGCTTTCACCAAGGACAATAGTGATGAAATAACTAAATAAAACTCTATAAAATATAAACCATTCATTGTATTCTTATTTAGAGAATTGTTGAGATAACAAGTGAAACAATTAAAAAAACCTGTGTCTTCTTCCATTTGACTGTTTCAAAATGGTTCTGGTCACATTTTCAACTGCCAAGATAAACTGTCTGAAACACAGCTCTTACTAGCTCCAAAAGCTGATTTTTTTTTTTTTTTTTAGTAAAAAAACCTAGAATGCTGCCACTAGTTAAGAAGCAGCATAGTGAAACATCAGACTATTATCTTCTCCATCAGTTAAACTGCATGAATAAGTCCTACATTTTGGCCACAATAATCCCCTGCAACGTTATAGGGTGGGAAAGTGTGGCTGGACAGTTCCCAGCCAGCCAGCAGTGTGCCCTGGCAGCCAAGAAGGCCAATGGCATCCTGGCCTGTGTCAGGAATGGTGTGGCCAGCAGGAGCAGGGAGGTCATTCTCCCCCTGTACTCAGCACTGATGAGGCTACACCTTGAGTGCTGTGTCCAGTTCTGGGCCCTCAGTTTGGGAAGGACACTGAGATGCTTAAGCATGTCCAGAGGAGGGCAATGAGGCTGGTGAGGAGCTTGGAACACAAACCCTGTGATGAATGACTGAGGGAGCTGGGGTTGTTCAGCCTGGAGAAAAGGAGACTCAGGAGTGACCTTCTCGCTCACTACAACTTTCTGAAAGGTGGCTGTAGTCAGGTGGGGGTTGTTCTCCCGCTCCAAGCAGAAACTGACAGAAGGAGAGGACAGTCTCAAGCTGTCTCAATGAAAATATAGGTTGGATATTACGAAATTTTTTTTCACAGAAAGAGTGATAAAGTACTGGAATGGCCTGCCTGGGGAAGTGGTGGAGTCACCATCCCCAGTTTAGAAAAAGACTGCATGTGACACTTGGTGCCATGGTTTAGTTGAGGTGTTAGGGCATGGTTGGACTCAACCAGTCAAGAGACTTGAAGGTCTCTTCCAATCTAGTCACTCTGGGAATTCTGTGAATTTTATATCTGCTGCTTTGTAGGGTTTTATAAATGGCTCTGGCAGAGGGAGGATGTTGATTCATTGTCCTCATAGAGATTAGCCCCTTATGCCTTGACCATCTTCTCTGATACAGGCACAATATGGAGCTTTCTTTTTTTCTGTGAAAACCCATTTCTCTTTACATTGAGTTAAACCTTGGGCAGCAGAAACTTTATCCTTGTTGGGGCAGCCCTCATGAGTGGCATATTCATGCAGGATTCAGTTGTAGAATAAAGCAGTGCACCATTATGGTAGATCTACTAATAGGGAAATAGCCCCATAGGGTTTCTCAGTAATCCACAAGAAAGATCAAGGTCTCCAATACAAACTGTACTGAAAGGAATAGAAAATATGTAATGGGGTAAGTAGGATATGGAATCTGGAAAGCCTTTCTGACAGGATTGTAATTCCTTCAGGAAATTCATTATTTTTCAGGGGATGAAAACAACTATTACACTGTTGTTGTGGTTGTGCACAGCTCTCTACCAATTTATATAATGGTGATTTCTGAGAACTCCAGCCAAGGTTCAGGACAAATAACAGCAGTGTGTACTTTTCCTTCTCCCTCAATCCCAATTGCTCACAATATACAGGTCAGGCTAGAGGGCAAAAGGGATTTAAGAAGGAGAGAAAAAAACTAGCAATAAATGAACAGATACATGTAGTAGAATTGTGGCTTCAATAAGAAAGGAGAGACCAGTTCTCCATTTAGTCATTTTGGTTTTGAATATAAAAACTGCAGGAATTGTTGTCACTTGAAGTGCAGAATAGCACAGCAACAAGCCACCTTTAATTTAATGCTCTTTCTTGACTTTTCCTTTATTCCCTCTCTCTATCTGAAACCAGGAATGCTCCCCATTAATATTTCAAGTTATTTGTCCCTTAGTTTGCTTCATTGGAAATGAAAAAAGTAATGGTTACTTTACTCCTAATGTTGACCTGTGAGTAAATTAGAGGTTAGAAATGAATGTGCAAAGTACTGCATATGTTAAGTATTACTAGTTTTGAAGCTACCTTGAAATCAGAATCATGTTGATAAGCTAACTGAAAAGCTATCTAGCTAGAAATAATCTGGTAATTTAATTAGAAGTACCTGATGCCAATAGGTATTGGGAAAAATTAAAATCCTCTATCTATCTGGCCACTAAAGAACCAACAGACCTTTGGGAATATGGTGATAGTGTAATGATGAAACTCAGTTGTGGTTCATGCCAGAGTACTCCTGCCCTTAATTTCTGATGATTCACTCACTAGGGTTCTGTTTGTCAGAGTGATATTATACAAGTTAATGACTTGAAAATCTCTTTCAAGTCAAGAATGAGAAATTGTGTTTTCCTGTAAATAAAAAGTGTCCATGTTTGCCCTGAGATGTACTACAGCATGGTACATGTATTCTGTATATTCAATACCATGTATTCAGGTTTATGCCTTTTGCAAGAGTCCTCAGGTCATGCTAGGACACAGACCCACCAAAAGTCCTTCAGACACAATGGGAACTCTTCTTTGTCAGTAAATGAAGTTTCTAGTCTTATCTCAGAGTTATAAAAACAGGACTGCAAAGGTATTCAGGCTCGGGGCATCTCATTAGAAATGTGAAATTCTATTGAAAACTGCAGAAATCTATAGAGACTACTCTGACGGTCATTTGTATGCATCCCAAATGTGAATTTTCTTAAACATTACTGAACCTCGTGTGACTATTTTCAGTCTTGGAGAAACTTCAGGGTTTGGGGGTTTTCCCTTTTTTAGGAAACTCTAAATGAAAGGTTTTTTTGATTTGTATTTAGTAGTCCACAATAAAATCAAGTTATGATTTAAAATGTTTTTTAGGAAAAAACCTCAGTGACAGGAACCGAAATATCATAATTTTGCAGAATACTGCTTTTTTCACACTCTGAACAGTATCTTAGTGGAAAACAATTGAAAACGCAGCAAAATTATATGGGGCAGCACCCATTTAAACACGTGATTTCCATAACTCATGAAAGATAAATCTGGTTTATTTGCTTGTTATTAGAAGAGGGAGTAAATGAGGAGCTATATGGAGATCTTTATTTTAAGTAGATCTTGCAACCTAATGATTAAAACAAAAGTATCTTGTAAGACCAAGGAGTAAGATAAGTTTTCATTCTGCTCTGGTCTCTACATTAAGCTGTTCAGACGGAGATCTATTAATTGATATCTGATTTTTCCTTATTTAATTGTTGCAGGGTACATGCAGCTTTGCTTTGGTGCAGATTCCCCAGTCCCATTTTAGATTTACTTTGATTTCTAATCTCATATTAAATTATGAGTGTCAGCAATAAGGCGTGAACAGTGGAACTCTTTGTCCCCAGCCAAATCCTTGTAGCTTGTCCATTGGGGAGGTCATATCACCAATTACAAGGCTGTATCTCAGAGAGTCAGTAGCCACCATGAGCCTCTCTTGCTTGATTCTGCATATATAATCTTAAATCAAGCTCCCTCTCATGTAGCTAATATGAACAAATTATGTGTCTCTGTTTGTTTTCTCTTCTTCCCCACAGGTAAAATTAGTATTTTCAAAGGAACCTTCAAAGCCGATGGCCCCACGAATCTTACCAAATCCGCTAGCAGCTGCAGCAGCAGCTGCCGCTGTGGCTGTGAATTCCCCCTTCAGTCTTCGCACAGCCCCAGCAGCCACCCTTTTCCAGACTTCAGCACTTCCTCCAGCACTCCTACGACCAGCTCCTGGGCCTATACGGACCACCCACACTCCTGTGCTGTTTGCTCCTTACTGAACTCCAAACAGGAATTAATTGTACTGCAATAATTTTTCAAATCAAAAGACAAAAAAAAAAAAAAAAGAAAATCAAGAACATGAACTATGCAGTGTTTATTTATAGTTTAAAGTATATATGAAGAGCCAGAACTTTTGATAGAGAATCGAACAAATTCTGAAAGGGGGAATGGGTGGTATTTTCTCCAGATAAGAACATTTCTCTTGAGCATTGATCGTTTTAGAACTGATCTCCAGCATTGACTTGTAGTGACATATAAAACTTACAGAGCCTTTTGACTGTGCATTTTGGCACATATTTCCCTGCAATGTCTTTCCTGCTTTATGAAACAACTTACAAATTTGTCTAAAGGGCATTAACTGGTTCCAATGTATATAAAATACTTTATTCTGTAGATTAAAGAAGAAGGAAAAAAAAAAAAGCAACACTGTGAATAGTAGTACCCTTACCAATCCTCCTGCCAAATCAGCAGTTACTGGGTATTTATCTGAACAAAAGTAGATACAATAGATGTCTTGTAAAACAGTAGTATTGTGTCTCTATCTATGCCACTAGGTTTCTAACTGAGTTGCAAAAGATAAAATGAACAAAATTATGTCATTTTGGTAAGTAGTCAAAAATTATTACAATAATGTGGAGCTGTTCCTGGTGAGCAAAGTTTTTCTCACTCACAGAAGAATGAAAATAATCTAGATTAGGGCAAAGAAAATGATAAAGAATATCTAGTGGGGAAAAAATAATTCAGATGCTGTACACAGCAGAATGGGTCAAATGTTTATTTAACTGAGAATGTATGTGTACACTGTGTGTTTATTCAAAAAAGTGTAATACATACATGATAGATCAAAGTTTCAGACATGACAGTGGAAAACAAAAAAATATGATCTTGTCATGAAACAGGCCTGACACTTCAGTGTTGAGCAGAGGGAAGAAACAAACCAGTTACGCAGAATCATAACTGACAAATGAAAAACAGGAGAGAAATCCTGGTCTCATTTAAGTCAGTTTAAAGTTCCTTCTGACTGCAGTGTAGCCAGAATTTCATCCCAAGAATGGCACATATTCATTTTATATCACACCAGTGGGAGTGTCTGTAGATACAGGTAATATTTTTTGCAATAGGCTTAGTCTTAGCAAAGACAGACTTATTCCATTGTTTTATTTCCTATTGATGTGATATAAAATGTCTTAATATACCTATAAAATGTAAACAGTGACACATGAGATACATATTACGGGATAACTGCACATCATGGGTTTGGAACAAATACAACTTTTAGGATCTCAAGGGACCCTTGAATTCTGTAGCTGACCGTGATGTATGGACAGCTTAAAGCCTTATATATTTACTGTGAGGCTTAAAGGGGTTGACTGTGTCCCTTTAAAGTAAGATTTATCAGGGGTATATATAGATATATTGTATATATGTTAGAGTAAGAAAAATAACTTATAAACAGAAAATCTACTATATAAAATAATTATATAACCATTGATTTCACATGTGGGTCATTAAGTGGTAAGTAACAAACAACAGAGAAAAAAAATAGACTTTTTGAATCTGATCCTTGCTGCCTGCTTTTTCCCATAGGGAGCTGAAAAGTATCTATTAATATTATGGAGTGTGCTGCTGAGTCACATGCAACCACTCTGATGAGTAGCTAAGTGAAATGCCTACTGTACATTTAGGCAGAATAAAATTTAAAAGCATAATTTAAGTTTAGATGGGGAAATTATTTGAAAGATTTCATTAAAAGCCAGTAATGCAAAATATTGACCATGTGGTTGCTATATAATGCTGCCTGTGGTTATTGCAGACAGATGGGAGATATAGAGGATGGGAATATACAGCACTTTTGACTTGCAGTTCATCAGTGAGCCTTCCATATTACATTCGTATTTGCCATTTTTTAAACCTCTCCGCATTTAGATTTTATAAAAAATATATAAAGAGAGAGAAAGAAGAGGTTCCATGGATATCTGTGTCTGAAGAATTCCAAAGAGATGCATTTATTTATCTAGAAATATTAAAATAAGTTCTGTGTTATGTATTTGTATTTCATCCAGTTTATTTGCAAACGTTTGTGCCTTGAAATTAAATGAGCTTTTATTTATATTTAATTCACACCTATGTAGCCATGAAAAAGACATGATGGTTATTCCAGGGCTAATACCAGCTGGATTGCTATGGCCTAACTTTCAAATCAACAATATGAGTAAGTTCCTGAAGCCAAGTTTAAACATCTAAATATCTAGGGGCTGACATTTAAAAGGGCTCTCTACTCTACAGCTCCCAGTAAAGAGGCAGTAAATAAGCCAGCCTTCAAAACCTGCTCCTCACACTCAATTTAGAAATTTTTTCATTTTATTTGGGTACATGAGATAGTAAGATTCAGAGGACTTGTTCTTTTAAGCCTGCTTTCAACCTTACATATTTGGAAGTGTAGTGCCACTGCCAGCTGCATTCAGATTCCTCCTTGAAAAGGGCAGCAGCTTTCAAGCAAGCTGCTCCATGAACGATCACTTGTTTCCAGAACCTTTTGTAAGATCCTGGGTAAGTAGGATCTTGCTAAAGGAGCAGAGGAGTACTCACATTTTGGGAAGGTAGAAGGTCTGGGCAGGCTGTTTTTTCTCCCGAGGAAGCAGGCAGATGGAAAAATGGGAGATAGACAAATATCCTGAAGGCTCTTATGCACAGCCTTCTGGTGCATGGTCACCTGCTGTACATCCTGCCATATTGTTGAGATGCAATCAAAATCAACAGGCTGATCCTTGCCAAAACGTGGCCTGTGGCATGTATGGAGGCACAGTACTAAGAGCAGAGTTCATACAAATTTTGCTAGAGATAAAAGAGTGTCATTTCAACTACTTACATCAGCTAATTTGCAATGACACCTTCAGTTTTCTTGGACCTCTTTTGTCACAGTGCTCTATGGAACAAGTTTTTGTTCACACAAGTCTCTTTTAAAGTTCAGCTGTAAACAACAAACTGAGCTCTTTTTGTCTCTTACTCACTACCTAATAAAGGATAAAGCCTAAATGTTAGAATGTATAGTGGATTTTCTGTGCCTTGTTGCTCCACACCCCTCTTGGTCAGTAACAACCCAACATACCCAGGATATCAGCCCAACAGTTCTATTTATATATATATATATATATATATATATATATGTCAAGGAAAATACTGGCACAGCTATCTAATGGGGCAAAGAGAGCTTCTGGTCAAGGGTATGTCTACAGCAGATGACAGAGGACATAGCAAACAGAAGACACTTTACACCTACTTGTCAATACATTTTGTGTGGAGAGCATTATTAAAGAAAAATATGCCATCATGTTTCATATTGCCAGGGCCAAGAGGAAGCCTAAAGCACAAGGAAGCAGATCATTTCATCGAAGACACAGTCACTCACTGGAATAAGAATGTGAAATAAGCCTGCAGGAAAGTGGCTGGGTAATGAACTCAGAAAAACAATCAGGTTCAGGGATGTTTTCTTAAGTTCTATTCAAAGTGTTAAAGAATAACTATTCTGTTGTGACCCAAAGAGATGGTATTTTTGTGGGAGGTATATATATATATATTTATATTTTTATGCTATCTGCATTTTTTCCAACTACCTATGGCTTCAAACCTTTGTTCTGAAGGATCATCATTGCTCTGAACCATGAAATTAGTAACCTTCTTGAGAACTGCTGTGAAAGCTGATATGAGAGGTCAGTAAGCAAATGGTATAAATATGATGATCTAAAATGAAAAGGACTGACCATGTCAAGAAATATTGTATTTGAAAAGTATACATCTTTATTTTAAGATAAATTATATAAAATGATATAAAATTAAGAATAGCTAAATAAAGTAATAAAACTAGAAGAATTACATCTGTCATTTTAGTACTGAAATATTACAATTGGCTCTACATTTTAAAAGTTTAAAGGACTTTCTAGATGTCAAATCAATGCCAGGATGCTGTTGGTACATTTAATGTCTCACTTCATTTATCTTCTGTTTGTATCAGGAGTATGAATGGACCTGCCTTTAGTCACTTTTAATTAATTGCCAAAGATACAGTAGCATATTGCCCCATATTCCCTGAAAAGTGAAATCATGCTGCTTAGGAGGCCCTGTTTCTGAATTTCACTTCCCATAAACACTTAGTTTTTAGAGTCTCTTCAAAGCATCCTGGGGAATTTCTAACTTGATATCTTTTTTTAGCAAAAATAAATTTATGAACATTATGTCATTTTATGAATATTAGACCAACACTAAGGAGCAAGATCTAAAAAGGTTTTCACAACTCTACAACATTCTTTTGGGTAGATATGAAGCGCAGACATTCAAATTATTTGGTTGCACTTATCTCTTTGAAAACATGTGAAATCATAACCCAGACTACTTTATAAGTGTCCTGGTTTTGGGGTTAACACATAACAATAAGAAATCTGGTCTTTTTACTAACAGGGGTAGTAAAACTGACTTCAGCACAGTTCAAGCTTCAAGACGCTAAGCTCCCAAGAAAATAAGAGTGGGCTTTCTGTTTATCAAGATGCATGTGAAAATGTGAGCCTACACTATGTAAAATATTAAGTATTTTTGTGACATCACATCCTGTTCTCATTGTTTATCTCCTTCAGTGCCAATGAATCATACAGAAACTCCTGTTCTGGAATTCAGTACATGACTAAAAGAAACAGTAATACTGATAAATCCTATCTTAAACTAGTTGAAATCTCAAACACATAGTGAAGAGTTTAGCCAAGGATGAGAGTTTTATGGCCTCTCACTTCTACAAGTTTATTAAAATTCAGGACCATTTTGTAGTAAATGTAACTATCTGAAAGATGATTATTACATCTGAAATGTCAGCAGCTGAAACAGCCTGTGCTCCAGACTGAAATTAACAATGGTATAAAAACCATAATGCTCTTAACTTTGGGACTTCTGATAGCAGTTGCAAAAATCTTTGATTTCAATAGAGGCAATTTTTTGCTCTTAGTGGGCTAGGCCTTTTGCAGTCATGCTGTGTACTGCAATTAGGTGTCATTCATCTCTGATTCTGTATTGATAATTTGATAAAGAAACTTGGCTGAGCATGAAACATGATTAGTGGCTGCTTGGTTCATGTGATCAGCTTCATGCTGGGATGATCCTTAGGTGGTGAAATAAGCTGAACTGAAAGGGTCAATGTAAAGAAAGTGGTGGAATAATTTGACCCTTTTTTCTTGTGCAATGCTCTTAAATGGAACTTGTGAGGTATGAACAAGCTGGGTCATTGAAGAGTTCCTGGCTATAAATGTAGGGACTTTGAAGATCATGCAATCTTAACTTTAAAATAAGTTTGATGAGAAAGAACTCAGAAGACATTCTTTGGATTAGATAACACAGTGACATTGTAGCAATGGTCTTCACACTAGACACACTGTCCATACACTGACATTCTTCCTGTTCACAGCAGAAATCAAGGGCTTGACACCCATGATTAGGAACAAGCATCGTTAATAATATTCATTTCATAGGTATTGGACACTCACTTGAAGGACACAATAATTTTCCTTGGGACTCCATGTCTTCAGGTATGTTCATACCAGCCAAGATATCACTGCATTTTGTCAACACCTGGGTCTCCAGAAAGGATGTCTATAGTTTTTGTTTGTTTTTATTACCATTTGATTTTTCTTCTATGTTTCTTTATTCATTGTCTTGTCTCTCCTATGAATGAACAGAATCCATAAAATTAAATATACATTTAAGAAGTATGTAATTGTTAATGCCCCTGTTGGGCCATTTGATCATAGTCAATAAAGTGAATAAAGAATTTAAAGCAGCAGAGCCACAGTAATGGTAAAATATTGGGAAGAGAGTACATCTATACTATAGTGTTCTTTACCAAATCTAGAATTTTATGACACAGATAGCTCTTTATCCTTTTATACTTTCCTGAAATATTCATCTTTTGGGACCTTTATAGGTTTATCAAATTTAAATGTTATTTCTTATGTTCTGTAAAAACATCTATGTGTTTCTGAGGGCAAAAACAATATAAAAAGGGATAAAATCTACAAACCATTTTCTTACTACAAATGCCTGCAGCATCTGTTAGCAATGTCAGCCCTTTCTCTCCTAGTGGCTCGTGGCTGGCATTTACCATGGGAACTGTTCTCATTGAGACATGTATCCAGTGAAAACTGTCAGTTCAAAACACAGTCTGTCAATGCAGACATTAGTTTGGGCCACAACAGAGTGGGAGATGAGAGAATATAGGCAAAGCTATGCCTTTGTAACAGCCTGTTTGAACCCTCTCAAAACTGCCTAGTGGCTTGATGGGGAGAGGCAGAGGTTCTTAATGTAGTCATTCTGTTTTATTTGTAACACAGAAGGTGTAAATCTGCAAAAAGTCTTGATTTGAGGATTTTGAGGATTTTTAACCAGTGCTTCAGTGTGGGGGATGATGCCCCCCCTCTACCCGCCCAAATGTGTAATCTTTCCTTCAGACATATTTTCAATGTAGACTTGCCATGATATTATTGCCAGTCAAACTGCTGCCTGAATCTGATTGGAGTAAAAATATTCATGTTGGTTTTGGTACCCAGGAGAACCCAGATATTAAAAATGAAAATGTAAGAAGCTTCCAGTTGGGTCACTTTTATTTTTCTTTCTGCAGTTGCTCAAGTCGTACCAGTTTGCTGAAATCTACAAGTCAATCAAAGCGAAAATGCCTGTTTCTTTCTTTTTCTACTGTTTTTATAGTTTTAGAAAGGAGATGGAAACAGCTGTAGCTCTTCATCCAATGATTCACACTAAAGCCACCATGTAGTCAACAAATGCCTGCACATGTATTGCCTCTCTGCATACACACAGATTTACTTCCCTCCAGTTGTTCTGTTAAATCACATTTTGTGACTTCCTCAGCATCATGGGACACTGCAAGAAGCATTTAGAAGGAAAATAAAAACTAAAACACCCACTTATGATCCATGTAATATTGGTTATAATACAGTACCCCTTTATCCCCTTCAGTGGCATAATCAAACCATGTGTCTGGACTCCTGCATTAAGCCCCTCATTACAGTATTGGCTGCTTTAAATGGTGAGCACTGGAGCCAATTTTGCTGGCTGTGCTATAATTAAGCCTTCTCCCTAACTGTGTAAGGTTCTCTGTTCTCCACTGGGGTATTTTTCATGTCAAGTGAATTCCTGGAATAAAACTTAGAGCTTTTATCACCTCCTTATACAGCTGTGGAAAGCAGGGGGAAAAAAGTAAATTAGCCTTTCATGTTTTATTGATACGCATGTTCCACCTGACTGTCAGGAACTTCATAGTGGCAGTAAATACTTCAGAAACTCTTCACTTCTCTTCTTTGAGACAGGATGCAATTGATCACTATCCCATAGATATTAATAGATATTTAATTCACAGCAGTATGCAAATCATCTACCAATGGCACCGACTCATTAAACTATTTAAATTTGGATAAAAAACCTCAAAACCTACCAGGACCCAGTGAAAGAGATAAAGAGCACACACATTACATGATGTGTCAAAGAAACTTCAGGAGGACATCCAAGTTAGTCCAACAGCAAGTGCCAGAGACGGTAATTCTGGAAATTAAATGTAGGGTGATTCTTTCTGAGCCCAAGTGTGAGAACAAGTTTAACCCTGCCAAATACACTGAAGCTATTGAGAGCTGGAGAAGTTTATTGGCATTCTTGAACAATGTTCTTCCAGCTATGGACAGTCTCCCACATTGCAGTGAAAGATTTCAAACATGAGACCAAGTTATTTAGCAGGGTAATGAAATATGCTTCCTAGTGCTTGCAGATAACCAACATAAGTCCTTAATTTCGTAATGCAGGGCACAGTTACATTACTGTGTACTAATTTACTGTCATTAGTACCATTGAGTACTCACACTTTTACAAAAACTGGCTCTGATCCATTCACTCTTCAAAAACACAGTAAATTTAGATGACATTTTTATAAGTAGAAGAGTAAAATTTCATGGTCTGGTAGTTTGTAATAGTAGCTTTGACTCATAAATAGT